TTGTACAGCAGTTTTCAGACCATAAAAAGGTTTTGAAGAGTAGCAGTTTTAAGACTATAAGAAAGTTTTGTACAGCAGTTTTCAGACCATAAAAAGGTTTTGAAGAGTAGCAGTTTTAAGACTATAAGAAAGTTTTGTACAGCAGTTTTCAGACCATAAAAAGGTTTTGAAGAGTAGCAGTTTTAAGACTATAAGAAAGTTTTGTACAGCAGTTTTCAGACTACAAGAAATTTTTGTACAGAAATAACAGAAAACTGAGCTCACAACTGGAAATTACATTTTCTTACCAGTAGTAACAAAAAAAACACACATGTATGTATACACATTTATATACATGTATGTATCTATTAACAATTTTAGGCACTTAAGTATACATTCAGCATACAAACATTAATTACCACAATTATCTGAACCAAGTGTTGCATTATTGACAATCTCTTTAATATATGTTTTTGTCCCTCATATACTTTAGAGAGATTCTTTTTATTTGGAAAATATCATTGTAGTAACACCACTACCATATTCTTTTACTTTGGTTACTTTTTTTTTCATTTAATTATATATTTTTTATATCTTTTTTCTTTATCAATCATTCTTTTTTTGTGATAATATTTTCAGGATTCTTTCTATGTTTTTGCAACATACAAATCCATTGTTAAAATTATTTTACAACAGATATTCACAACCACAAACAAAAAAAGGAAATCACTGTAAAAGCAAGAAAAATAACAAAAATAATGTCATTATCATAGAATGACAAACATTTAAAGGTACAGCAAATCAGTGTTTTATAATTTTTTTAAATTCTAAGTTCAACTGTTTTATGATTAATGTAATAACGAGGATTAAGCCATTTTCACAGGAAAATAAACCACGGATAAACAGACTTTAGTAAGAAATTTTAGGATTGAATGTCGGATTGATAATAACAAATGAAATCTTTGTATTTTTTTCTTTCATTTTTCACAAAACACTTTAAAATGCTAATTTTCCAGTCAAGTAACACATAAAGCGTACTCCTTTTTTCACAGCTTTCATTACATTCTGGTACATCAGTAACAATATTTACTTTATAAAACTATCAGTTAACTTTCTTTTCCCTTCAAAATGTTGTTTCCAGGCTCAAATAATTTTTATTTTTGCTACATCACATATCAATAGTTTTTGTTTGTTATTTGCAAAGATCTGACTGTACAGAAAGAGTTTAAAGAAAAAGTCAATTACATTAAATATAAACTCTAAATAAAAATTTCAGTTTGGGTAAAATTTTGTAAAAGCAACAGTGTTACAAAGACAGTCAATTTTGATAAACTATGTACAAAATCTGTCAATAATTCAAAACTGTGTTGTGCCATTCGGAGATTCTAAGTCATCGACGCCACGATCGTGCCTCACTGTCTTCATCTTCTTCATCATCTCTCAACAAAATGTCTTCCTCTCCATCAAGGGTCTTGAATAATGGAGAAAAATATAATTAACTTCTTGAATATTTTGATTTTTATTACATTATTTACAAAGCCTATTTTATATATTTAATCTTCATCTGGAAAATCTATTTTCACAAATCATGCTATCTATATTTTTAGTAACCACAATTCTGAAAAATCATCAATTTTCACAAATCATGCTATCTATATTTTTAGTAAGCCCAATTCTGAAAAAATCATCAATTTTCACAAATCATGCTATCTATATTTTTAGTAAGCACAATTTTGAAAAAATCATCAATTTTCACAAATCATGCTATCTATATTTTTAGTAAGTACAAAAGCAACTTTTTTACAACTGCTTCTTATTTACAGAAGCATTTCAAGGTACAGTGCCTTTCGTGTTATGAATGACTAATGCGACTCTATTAAGCTCAAATCTGCTTAAACACAACCATTATTTTTAAAGCTGGTAAGTTTCCTTACTATATTTTCTTATAAAAGCAAGTTCTGAGTTAATCTTAAAAAATAAATATCCAATTCCTGAGAATTATGTTCAAAATGAGATTTAAGTTGTTGTATTGCTGCACTACGATAATCAGAGATGTGAAATCTCTTTATCCTAAGATTTCATTACAAGAAACTACTGATTCATATCTAATTTTATGTATTTCCATCTTTGGATATAATCATGGTAGTTCTGTTGAGGATTTATTTTTGATCAAACTGATAAAGTTAATATATCATGGTAGTTCTGTTGAGGATTTATTTTTGATCAAACTGATAAAGTTAATATAGGATCAAAACTTGTAATTGCTATGCCTATTTATTATTTTTTTGCTTAGCTACCATGGAACCAATGGTTTAAAAAAATGCACCGTTAGTTTTTAAACCAAATCATTAGATATGCTATCTTGATGACAGATTTATCATTTTTGTTTTAAAATTAAATGTAATGCACTTTTGGCATTTCAACAGTAAATATCCAGATTTATAGTTGAGTATGATTTTAGATTATCTGTCCTGAATACTATAGTGCATTATCAATATCCCAGTTGTAAAGTACGTGTATTATATAAACCAATATTTTTCTTGATTTCATTCTCATTCTGACAGTTTTGTTATCTACAATATTCAAAGTTAACTTAGTAATTGTTTGGTTAATCATAGGCTTCAGAAACTTATTTGTTTATGTAATAAAATGTAACTGTTTGTAATCTAATGAACTTAATAGTAACATCCCTCAAATACTAAACCAAGTTACCAACTCCCTTGAAATTTACAGTTTGATGTTCCCAAAAAACTTAGACAATGTTGTATTACGTTGTAATAGTACTTCTGTATGCAGGACAAAATCACAATATATGTTGTAATAGTACTACTGTACGCAGGATAAAATCATAATATATGTTGTATTAGTACTACTGTATGCAGGATAAAATCATAATATATGTTGTACTAGTACTACTGTACGCAGGACAAAATCACAATACATGTTGTATTAGTACTACTGTACGCAGGACAAAATCATAATATATGTTATATTAGTACTACTGTATGCAGGATAAAATCATAATATATGTTGTATTAGTACTACTGTATGCAGGACAAAATCACAATATATGTTGTATTAATACTACTGTATGCAGGATAAAATCATAACACATGTTGTATTAGTACTACTGTATGCAGGACAAAATCACAATATATGTTGTATTAGTACTACTGTACGCAGGATAAAATCATAATATATATTGTATTAGTACTACTGTATGCAGGATAAAATCATAATATATGTTGTATTAGTACTACTCTACGCAGGATAAAATCACAATACACGTTGTAATAGTATTTCTGTATGCAGGAC